TGCAGATACAACCGGGTGCAGATGCAACCGGGTGCAGATACAGGCGGGTGCAGATACAACCGGGTGCAGATACAACCGGGTGCAGATACAACCGGGTGCAGATACAACCGGGTGCAGATACAACCGGGTGCAGATACAACCGGGTGCAGATACAAGCGGGTGCAGATACAACCGGGTGCAGAAACAACCAGGTGCAGATACACCCCAAAAAACAAAAACAACAGACAGAAATGTCTGATCAACACTTCACCAAAAGCTCTCCACATTTCGATCATAATCTTCGGGCAGTTTAATAGACTGGGGTAAAATCTGAATTTAACGCCTGGTTTAGAGACCAGCTTGAGAGGTGCATCTACTCACCGCTATGCAGCGAGCATTGCCGCTGCCGTCCGTGGATGGGCATTTCCAGCCGCTCAGGCAGCTGGTGCAGCGAGCGAAGGCAGTGAAGGAGTAATGGCCAGCTGCGCAATCGCCGTTGCTGGCATCAGAGTCCGTGTCTGGGCAGAACTTGCCGGGGGCGCAGGATGTGCACGAAGACTGGGCGCCCAGCGAATACGTGCCTGAAAGTCAAATACGATACCAGTTGAATTTTGATAGCAGAGGCAAATTTCAAGCTCATCGAGTTTCGGGAATTGAAAGAATTTCCCGAATTTTTCTGAAGAATTTCTTCTCATAGAGGAAAACGTTTGCAATTTATAAGACCTCTTTAAAGGTCTGAAAAAACAAAGCCGGTGTGATGTACAGCAGAGCCCTTAAATCATTGAAAAACAAAAATTTGATGCAGATGAGCTCAACGCAGTATTTTTCTCAAAAAAAACTGTCATTATTACTCGGTGTATGTAGATTAATCCAACGAGATACCGTAAGTGGGAGGGCAATGCACTCCCGCACGCCCTCTTAACGCGAGCAGGTATTTGGTAAACCCGATTTGTTGATGACGAATAACGCGTGCGCACCACTGCAGCCATGCAACGGCTTGTCATTCTGAAGTTCAATTTCACTCAACTCAGAATCCCTTGTTGGGAGGTCAACAAAGCAAAGGAACATACCGGGCAGACACTCGAACATAGCTGACGGGTCGGTCTGAGATGGGCACGCATACCCAGCCGGGCAGGCCGTGCAGTTGGTTGTTTGTCCGGCGGAGTAGTAACCCGGCAGGCAGACCGTGGGCGCCTGGTTGGTAGTTGGGCATTGGAAGCCACTTGGGCAGTCGGTGCAGGAGGTGGCCTTGGCCAGGCTGTAGGTGCCGGCCCCGCAAGCCTGCGGGGCAGTCCTGCATAGGAGAATGGGGTTGCGTTTGAATGCACTGTGAAGCCACTACCAAAGACTTCTAGGATGCGAGACCAAGGTCTTAGACAGAGCTGGTCATAAAGCAAGGTGTCAAAGAGGCCATTCCCATCAAGTCAAGATCATCCTCCCTCAGCTGAGATTAGACGGGCACCAACTGCCCCCCCCCCAGCTGCATTACCCTCGCAAGATCACATGAGGTAGGTTCTACAATCTTGACAATATTATGTGATCAATGCAGCTCACTGACCAAAAGGTTATTCAAGGGGTGCTCTAGGAGAGGACTACAGGAGAAGAAAACAGAGTGAAAGGAAAAAAAAAGGTGGAAAAGATAGAAAGAGAAGCCAATCTTGTGAAGATCACACCTTAGAATTAGCTTTGAAGATTACACGGATTGACTAGATAGAGGAACAAGTAGCACATCCCACACTCTGATTGTCTGGAGCAACCAGTGACCGAGAAGAATTCTTATTAAAAAAAAACACTTACGCTGGGTCGGAGCAGTACATTCCAGCAGCACAGTCCTGGCATGCAGTCTGAGCTCCCAGGCCATCCGTGTGCTGGCCGTCGGCACAGGCCACGGGGCCCTGGGTCTTGACCGGGCAGGCCGAGCCCGCGGGGCAATCATGGCAGGCCGAGTCGCCGCCAAGACTGTACTGGCCCTCCGAGCACTCGGCCGTGGAAGAGTTGGTGCAAGAGGAGCCCGCAGGGCACTGCAGACAGACCGCATTGCCCTGGAGACAGGAAAACACCAGATCCCAGGTATTGTTTTAGCGAGAAATATCAGCTTTCAAAGAAGATGGAATATGACAGCCAACTTTTGGCGTACACTTAAACACCACCAAAACTATAATACAGTCATTTCAACAGTATTTTTATTCATGTATTTCTTAGTGCAAAATATATTTTTAAATACTCCTGGGCCTGCCCAGGAGGCAATATTTGCTGGGAGGTTCAGTCAGGGTACTGGTTGACTCTTGATCAGTTCCTTAACATTTGACCAAGGATCTGTCTGGAATGTCTTAACCCTACTTATTGTGCCATCAAAATCAATGATTATAGCAATGTCTGAATCAACTGGCTGGGCTAAGAAAAACGCATGTGGCTACGGGAAGTGGCTAAAAGTAAGAATGCAGCAGCTTCCAAGGGCACACGTGTTCATTTTCAGCCGAGAAAGCTCCAAAGTGGCTTTGCATACCAGCGGGCTGTAGGTTCCCGAGTCGCAGTTCTGCGGGGTCTCGCCGGGGTTCAAGCAGGATTGACCGGCCGGGCAAGACTCGCACGAGTCCTGCCGGGCCTCGGAGTAGGTACCAAAGGGGCAGACAGTGGGGGGTTGGGAGGCATCGCTGCAGTAGTAGCCGGCGGGGCAGTCCTCGCAAGCAACAGCCTGGTGGAAAAGCAAAACTCAAATGAAAATCAAACGAGACACCGTAAATTTGAACTGGGTGACAAAGAAAAATGATGTACCAGTATCCTCAGATGTAAATGCACCATGCACAATTACTCCTGAGCCAGTGATGCAATGCTCACATAAAGGCCCGAATCCAGATTCAGTGATCCAGATTCTATGATGCAGATCCTGTGATCCAGATTCAGTGATCCAGATTCTATGATGCAGATCCTGTGATCCAGATTCAGTGATCCATATTCAATGATCCAGATTCAATGATCCAGATCCTGTGATCAAGATTAAGTGATCCATACTCAGTGATCAAGATTCTGTGATCAAGATTCAGCACATGATCCAGATTCAGTGATCCAGATCCATACAGAAAACCAAACAAAACTCTCAAACAAACTGGTGGAGGAATACCGGTACATATTATCATTGCAAGAAGAATGTCATCTACTTCACATTTCAGAGTCTAGCTCTGGCTACATGTGACCTAACGTTAAAAAAATTAATCAGAGGAACCTTTGAGAGAAAGGCTTGTAAGAGAATCTTTCACCCATCGCTCAATGGGGACCTCTTTACCATTTTTCAGTTATATGTTGTCCAATTTCATCAGGATGTCCAAATGGGTGATAGATCCAAACAACCAACTCAGTTCACTCTTTCTAATGCCAACTAAAACGGAATTACTTAAAAACAGGGCCTTTAGACTCATTTTGCGGGATCACAAACATTTGCGGGATAAATCTGACGGCTGTGGTACCTCTCCTATTCCACTCCAAGTGCCGGTGTCGCATGGGACGGGGCTCGCACTGGGATCGGTGCAGACACTGCCGGCTGGGCAAGCCATGCAAACAGAGGCGCCGGCTGAACTGTACGTACCTGCCGAGGGATAAAAAGAAAAAAAAACGCACTGCTGTAGCCGGGACCTTTCAAGACATCACAAGACCCCACAAGACCCCACAAAACCCCACAAGACCCCACAAGACCACACAAGACCGCCACAAGTCCTCCCATCTGAATTCAAGTCACATGCTGTTCAAATGCACCGCAACAAAAGCATTTCCTAGTCACTGTTCATCCCAGTGCTTGTGTCAATGGTCTTGTGAGAGGTCTCGTGATGGTCTGGACGATGACACTGAAAAGAGACCACGACGAAAACTAGAGACTGCTAGTGGATGTTGAGAAATAAAAACCCAGTTATTCTCAGCAAACGTGTAAGTAACATTTATGGCACAACTCAATTATGGGGTAAACCTGATTTCAAGAAATTGTGAAATTGGGGGGAGGGGAGGAACTTATTTTATTTATAGAACAAAAGTTTTGGAGGGTGGAAGTTTGGGTGGAAGTTTGGATGGAGAAATGCGGTATTATTCCACCCTGGTGCACAATTTGGCTAAGGTGATCAGTCTTTCAAGAGATTTTGGGGGTTCAAAAGTGGCCTACAATAGTCAAGTCTTTTCTCGGAGGCCTGTTTTAATGTTCAGTTTTGCACAGCGGTAGGTTTTACTCTAAACACCCTTGGTTTATGTCCATCAGTGAAAACGAAATCAACAGAAACTTCTATTTTTTGAAATGAGAAACTCGACAACGAAAGAATTCTCACCGAGGGGACAAACAGAGCAGGCGCCGTCGCCCCTGGCCGCATAGTATCCAGCGTCACAGTCTACCGGTGCAATGGAGAAAGATCCATTCAGGCAGGTCTGGCCGGCCGGGCACAGACTACAAGAGGAGGCACCAGAGTCGCTCCACAGACCAGTGGGACATTCCTGCCGAGGCAGAGGAAGATGCAAGGGTTACAAACAACAGAGTTTGATCAGAGTAAAGTTTACCACAAGCCAATACCGTACATCAGGCTGGTTGCTAATCTCCGGTTTTCCTGTCATTGTCATGAGAATGACTGAGAATATTTCCATTTGATTTTAAATTTGTCTTTTCATCATATGACCAAACAATTTCTAAAAATTTTGAGAAAATCTGTGAGACCAGAAGGTGTCAAATCAAATTGTTTGATATAACACACATACATGTGACAGAAATTTTCTGGCAAGAATGTGAAAAACATCAACCGCTCACAGAATATTTCTGCTACGGAGAGCAGAGATTTTCTGCTTAGAATAAGCACAGCCAAGAAACTTGGCCACAGGGAGTAACAGCAGCAGAAAGAAACCTACCGTGCAAACTTGCTGGCCAACCAGACTGTAGTACCCCGCCTCACAGCTGACTGGCGAGTCTGCCTGAGAGAGGCACGACTGGCCAGCTGGGCAGGGTAGGCACCGAGCCTGGCCCTCCTGGTCCTGGTAGGAACCCCCGGGGCAGATCTCAGGGGTGCCCACGGGGGAAGGGCAGTAGTAGCCCAGGGGACAGGGGACGCAGTGGGTCCCGTTGGAGTACTGGCCAATCTGTGGGAGTGCCAAAAGAATATATCAACATCGCAGTCCTTTGCCATTGAAAGTTACCACTGCCAATTGAGATGGGAAATTCCATGAAAAGAATCCACTATCACGATCCACGATCGCTTTTCGAAAGGCTGAAAAATCGTTTCCCAGTTTGGGAAAATCTGTGAAAACGTGGCATCCCAATTCTATTCACAAACTGACCGTAAGACAACTCACAGGCGATCAACAATGTCTTCCCTACACCAATACCCCTTTCAGGAAGAGAGAGGCAACTATGAAGAAACAAACAGTTAGTCACAACCTGTTTTGGGTCATTTTTCTGCCCACGGGAGCACCTTGAAACAACTAGCGACCCTGATCTGATCTGCGCAGGATAGACTTAGATTCTGCAATTCGATCGCTAAGGTCACTTGGTGGCCAAGCCACTATTTTTTGTTATTACTAGGGGTACCTACCAGGCACAGTCCAGGGTCCGAGTCACCTCCACAGGCCGTACCGGCGGGACAGTTGTAGCACACGGTTGACCCTTCCGGAGCATACTTTAAAAAAACAATCACACATTGTTGGATTTTAATACCGGCAATTAAGATCAGACGTATACGGCAAAAGCCAAAGGATGAAATGCCTGGCAATTTTTATTCCCCTAAAAGTTTCAAACTTGGCTCAAACTTCCAGCCATCCAGGGCATTTTACAGTACGCCGTACCTCGACAACATGTTGAGACTGAAACCTCATAACCTTAAATAGACTGCCGATGAAAATCATTACAGTCATCGTGACTACAGCCACTTCAAAAAAAAAAAGAAGACATGGTGCCAGACTTACAAAGCCCCCTTCACAAGCCACAGGGTTGCTGCTCTTGATGGGGCATTTATTGTTGGAAGGGCAGACAGTGCAGGTAGTGGAGCCATTGATGGTGTTGTAGTAGCCATCTGCACACTGGAGGAAAAAAAAAAACGAACACCAACATCAGAATTGAGCCACTACTATGCCTCAGTGACAGTCACTTTAAGCCAGAACATCACATGACCAGGCACATGACAAGTCACGAGCAGGGTGAACAATGATGACGGAATACTTTCTGCTACACTTCATCTGGATAGGTTTTGACCAGAATTCAGACTGGAGGTTTTGCGATGGCCTCGAGAGTTCTTGCGACGGTCTTGAAAAGTCTCACCGACAACGATGTTCAATAACCACTGCAACTACGCTATAACCATGATTGGCCCGCGCAATCATGAGTGAAAATTTTATATTTGCTGAACTTCAAGAACAGAACCTTGAAATGGTCTTTTCATGAACATTTCATTCCAGACTCCAGTATGTCTACGACGGGACTTATGTTACGCTGAAACTAAAACCCACAGAGTTTTGACGAGTCAAATTTTGCATGTACGTTACTCCCTTGCAATACTTCAATGCATTCACCAACGTTCAGCACGGCTGAAAAGGAGACTAATAGGCTGGGTCTTGGTTCAAGCCATGAATCGCTTGAAGCAAGTCATGTGTCAAACTTTATGTTACTCCCTTACAACACTTCAATGCATTCAACAACATTCAGCACGGCTGAAAAGGAGACTAATAGTCTGGGTCTTGGTTCAAGCCATGAATCGCCTGAAGCAAGTCATGTGTCAAACTTTATGTCACTCCCTTGCAACATTTCAATGCATCACTAACATTCAGCACGGCTGAAATGGAATCTAATAGTCTGGGTCTTGGTTCAAGCCGCGAATCATTTCAGGTGAGTCCAACGCTCAAGCCACTTCTAAATCCAAAGCTGAGTTCAAGTCCTAGTTCAAATTGCAATCTATGCGTTACTAGCTCCCTGGAAACTGCAACTTACAGCTGAGCACGACGTGGCCCCATCAATGTCGGTGAAGTATCCCGGAGGACACTGGGTCGGTGCTGCACTGGCATCGCTGCATTCCGAGCCTGAAATACAAATACGAAAACATGATGAGGCATTGGGTCAGCCTTGAGCCCTGATTAACTGGCGCCCTTGTACACGTAAGTTCCGGTTAAGGGTGCACTTTTCTTGACTAAAAATAAGCACTGGTTTTAAAACTAACAGGTGCAACCCCACGGTGCATGCAATTCAACAATCAGTTCACCTTACGTGTATTTGAACAGGTAAACCTAGAGAGTATGGTATAGTACTGCTCTAACATGTCTAATAGCAGGTACATGAGCCACTGTACCATGCAGCATGTAACAGTACAAGGCTACGAGTAATTACAACTTGAAGTGCCGACATGGAGCCCGGCAGCTCAACGTCCCTTCATTATGACCCCTTTTGAGGGCTTTGTGACAGTTTATCGGTATTTGTATGGGACTTTCTTTTATTTGAATTTCTGTGGAATATTATAACCTTTGTATAAATGTTTGTTTTCACCTTAGGTATTTTTAATCAAGTGCAAAGCGAATAATAGAGTTTTAAACAGGCAAGAAGAACAAATGAATTGACATTGAATTGAAATTCACATTAGCTACAGTGCCGGTAAGGCATTCCCAAGGCTGCAAGTTCATATCTTATTATAAATTCAATATTCGTTGTTTGGTTAAGCAAAAGAATCAAGCATTACAGACAAAAAAGACAATTGAAATTGAAAAGTGTTGTTATTCAGAACTGAACAATCCAAAAATACAAGATAAATACTGAAAACATTAAAACTGAAAACAGTACAGCACCCGAGACCAAAGAGCAATATGTAAATTTCCTGCAATGTGTCAGTTTGTAAACCAGGCTTTTACTCACCCTGGGGGCATTGCGTGCAGTTGGTTCTGCCTTGCGTCTCGGCATACCATCCGGAGGGACAGTTAGTGGGGGCAGCCGGTGGGGGGTCCGGGCAGAATTGACCCCTGGGGCAAGGGGTGCAGGACTGATCGCCCGCTGCTGCAAACTCGCCCGAGTTGCAAGCGATGGGCTGCTGGTCTGTCGTTGGACACCTACAGTCAACAGTAAACACATAGCCTCTTACTTCACCATGTACAATGTACAGGTGCCTGTGCCACAATGTACATGTACAGCAGACTACCTGCTTTCACCTGCATCCTTACACAGCTATACTTGTGGGGAATTTCCTCTGTTCTCGTGTACAAAACTCCCACATCAAAAGCAAAAAATTTCAAATCACTCCAATTTCAACCAAATTCAGTTTCCTGGGTTGAAATTCCGACCGTATGTCCCTTATATAAAACACTTCAATTTACCCCGGATGAATGGCACAAAAATTTCCCCTTTTTGAGTTATTTCCAAATATCAGTTTTGTAAAATTCTTGTGGATTTTGGTACCCCACATGGTAAAAACTGTCCTTGTAGGATACTTCCCATTGTTCCGGTACCCCACAAGGCCCCATGTATATGCGCACCAAAACATACATGTACATACAATACATATACTTTTTACTGTACATCAATATGATGCATAGGGGGTCTATGTAAAGCCTTGTCCAAGTCTTTTGGCTACACTTGAAAAAACGCACACGTCCATATGGAAGTCACAGATTACCAGCTGTAGCCATTTCCCATTATCATGTGTATTATTGACAGCCACAGCCAAAGAATTTGAATGCAGCCTGCATGTACCCTTGACATTTCGTGGCCAGGGTTAGAGTCCAACCTGGGTCATCAGAGCGGCATATGATGAAATCTTAATGTTACCTGCAAAAGCGGTAGCTTGGGTCACAAACTACATGCACGGTTTCTGTCTGTACCACATTGTACGGTTATGCGTATTTGCTCGCATCATCAAAAGCACACGTACATGTTCACTGTACTCTGATCTAGTCTGAAAACGATGAGCTCTTGGAGGCCACTTGGAAAGCAGCGATCTCAGCGCACAGAAAGCGAGGCAAGTGGGTGGGATAAGAATTTTTGGTACCTTGCGCTGCAGACATGGTTTTAGGGGGCGATTCACAATTCAGTGCACTGGACCAAGAGGTTGTCACAGAGAGGGTTTTTCACAGCGAATTGTGGTCCATAAAGCTCTATTTTAGGTGCTTACGTGTGTTTGATTTGAAAGGTTTGAGCATTTGTCAGAGGTTAGGAATACCCTAATCAACCAAAATATTCCCTGAATACGCCCACTGACATTCACTCCTTACGCACACTGCGGCAAGTCGGTAATGTTTTTGTCAACTGTAAACTTGAAAAATGGCCTCTCGGTGGCAACCTCTTGATGGCGCTCCGTGTTGTGAATCGCGAGTACTGGAGAAGGTTCAATTCAACATACTTGTGGCCTCCAGGGCACTCCGTACAGCTGGAGTTTCCCCCCAGGGAGTAGAAGCCGGGATCGCAGGGGACTGGAGTGGAAGAACGGCTGAGGCACTCTGAGCCGGCCGGGCAGACTGTGCACTCTGTGGCTCGGGTGTCGTTGGCAAACGTGCCTTCCTCACAACTGCAGGGTGAACAGTAATAAACATCATAAAACTAAAATACATTCACCTGAACTGTGTTGAAGGGACAACGCAAAGGCCGCACAGAGACAAACAGGACTATGATCAACTCTAAAGCCACAGTAAAATGTAGAACCCAGAAGGTTTTTATCACAGGTCTTTGATTTGTAAAAACTACAATAGTTTTATTTCAATGACTTATTAAACGTAACAAGTGGGATTGAATTATAAGCAGCAAAGTCTTGTCTGAAAAATACATGTTTTCAACAGTTGTCCTGTTGTCCGCACATTAGCCCCTTCACGGCGGGATTATTTTGACCGCGACTGCTGGGCTGTGGTATGCCCTGAATGGAGGGCTTTGTCCTGCAGCAGGCCCCATTGAACCAGCAGCTGCATGGTGAACAGACTGTACGTGTGGTATGCACTAATCCTCACACAGTGGTGCGGTAGTAGCAGTCCTCCGTAGCGAAGGGGTTAAAGATTTTTGCTTGATTGTACAAAAAATGCAAATTCTGTGGAGACTGAAGTCAACAAACAACATCTAGCTCTGGGGTATTAATCTATTGGCATGAATACAATCAGGAGGTATCCTTGATCAAGTCCAACACACCTGATCTGAGCAGACAGTCCATTTTCGGGGCAATAGAATCCCTTGCTGCAGCCGAAACAGTTTGCTTGGCCCTCTGGTGCGTAGTATCCTTTGAGGCACTGGATTGGTGCCGCAGATGAGTCTGAACAATGGAATCCGGCCGGGCATAACGTGCAAGCGGTGGTATTGCCCAGTGAGTATTCACCATAGTTACACTGCGACGGATCTGCATGTAAAACAAAAGCAATATCAGACCATCACAATATCAATATACCCTACAATATCTATTAACCCTACACATTGGGGTCCCGACATCTGAACAATCTTAAGACCAGACTCAGCTCCCTGAGAAGCATCTGCCTCGAGCAGAAGCAGGAGTGTTCCATTTGTTGGCAGCGATTTTCAAGTCATTCGTGAACCAGGGAAGTTTACGTCTGACCAGGGGAGCCTCCGCCGCCAAGAAAATAGCGCCCTCTCTTGGTCCAGCTTGAGGCCAATACCAGCCAAATGCTACCATGCAAAAGTCCAAACACAACAACTTTCATGCCCTCAAAGATGCCAATTTACTCCTGGGGGGAGAGGCATGAACAAGTAGGGATGAAGCAACTTGCCAAAGATCACAATGTATACCAACTGCCAGGACTCCAACTCTCCAACTTTTGATCAGGAGCTACGAACTCTAACAGCTAGACCACAGAGTAAAAAAAATAGTCTCAAAGGTTTGACTACACAAAGACATCACAGTTTTGTAAAACTTGAGTGTTAGGGGATCAGATGTTGAATGGTATCTGCCCCGAGTTAAAGTGCGCCCTCACCGGCAAAGAAGGGAGACGCTGATGGGAATACTTTTTTCAATCAGGCTTGAATACGCGACTGGCACGCATGCAGAGACCGTACATTCCAACAAAACTTGGTCATGCATGCCCAGCACTTCTTGTGCCAAGTCCCATGAATCTGTGCATACAGTGGGTTCCCACCAAAGCAGCGTCATTTCTTCAGAGAAAACACCTTCTTCTATTGTTACTGCTTGGGGCAGATACCCTCACCAACAGCCGATGCGCAAATCTATCTAGCAGAAAGGCCATCTCACCTGTGCTTGGATCCAGGCATGCTGATCCAGCAGGGCAGAGCTCACAGGAGGAAGAGTTGTAACCACTGGCATAGCTCCCCTCGGGGCAGTCTGTGCAGTACTTGGCAGCACCCGTGCTGCAATAAGGGAATCATCAAGGAGTTGATGTGAAAATAGCACAGGTAAGTTGCCTTGACAATAACCCTTCTTTATCCATGCACAGCTATTCAAATGATTTCGACCTGAAGTCAGAGGTCACGCAGATGACTACGATCATGTGAGCTGATCTAAGACCCTTAATCTGCTTGCTAGACGCTATTGGCTATGTTAATGCTCCCCTGCTGGTTAGCTCAGCTGCGCATATGCGCTGCTTTAACTTGTACATTGTACCTGTATACCGGTTCATGATATCTCTATGCTTCAGCACCTTTAAGACAGTTGAAAAGGTTCCATCCTGACACATTAACATGTATACTGTACCTGTACTTTCCAGGAGGGCAGGCCTGAGGTGATGCCGAGGTTGTGCTACACTTATAGCCTGGGGGACAAGTCTGGCACTGCGTTGATCCTGAAAAGATCACCGTTTACATGTAGTATAGGAAAAGTCAATCATAACCTTACTATACAAGGCTGTTTATGTCTTCCAATCCTGCTTGGTGCAGTACAAGATTATCATTACTCTGAATATGTAGTCAAAGTTTAACAACTGACATTACAGGAACAACAATTTTATCAAGTTTTGACACTGTCACTGTAAGATCTTGCTCTAGAAAGACAAGAAGTATGAACGTGAGGCCCTTACCCACGCTTGGCATGCACTGTGAGGGGAAAAAATCAATGCATACAGTGCTTAAGAATTTAGGCTGAGAAGTAAGGACTCGTTCAGGGGGTTAACTTCTTGGTACAATTTAACAACTGAAATTTGCCAACTGAAGAATATATTTGCTGACCAAAATAGGTTACCAGTCAAAATATCTTGCTACATGTAGTCAGTGTACCAGTTGCATGGTAAGTGGTTATTTTGCTGAACAAAACTTGATGCTAAACAGTGTTTCCTGCACAGCAACTAGGTAATACTGCACTTGGGACTTACCCAAGCCGTCGGCATATTCGCCGTCAACGCACGCCCTGCACTCGGTCCATGCCGCCTCGCTGTAGTGACCCCTGCTGCAGATCACTGGGGTCAGGTGGGGGCTGGGGCATCGGTAGCCCGCTTCGCAATCCTGGCACGCACTGGAACCGGTCTCATTGGCGTAGGTGCCTGAAAGAAATTGACAAGTCAGTGTGGAAGTTAGAACCAAGAGTGCGACTGATGTTTTCTTCTCTTGTGCTTGTGTCACATTTCATTTGAACAGCTTGTGTCTCAGTTTAAGACTTTGTAACAGAGAAAAATGGCAAATTTTGCAGTTACATGCTCATGTAGCTTTGTACTCAAAAAGTATTACTGAAAAGAACACTTGCACACCATAGTTTTCCAATCTTCATTTCACGCTTTCGGGATAAGTAGTGCTGTGCAGTAGCTCCACTGTCCATGAGCGTTAGTGGCAAAGCCCAAAGACAACTCAACTCTGCAATGCTGAACCAATGCGCAGTTTTCCATGATGTGTGTGACACTGAACCAACAGATATTCAGGATGTACAGTGGATTCTGAGATTTTTGCAACAGAATGCAAAATCGACCTGGCGCTTAACTTTTTTTTTTTTTCATGTACATGACCACCTGTGATGGACTGAATTGTGATGGACTTGCGGGGACCTGTGATGGACTCGATATTAACAGGCGCAAAGTGTACCACTGTTAAAACATGTATTGCCCCAAACGGTATTTTGCAGTGTTGGGCAGAACAGTCCTGGATGTTGGTTCAGAGTCAAACACTTATTTTCTTTCCTTTTTTTTTCACTTTTTAAGCATTAGTATTCAGGGAACAAGGTGAGCTGTGCAGCACTGTGCAATTTACAACCTAACATGGACATGTACCATACAAGTTGCTAGGAATTAGCAAATTTGAATAGTTTAACTGGCCACATTCCTAACGACACGAGCGCAGTGTCAAGCATTGTTTTGGGCGGTTGTTTTTGTTTATGTTTATCTTTCTTAAGTTTCCACACAAACTTCAATGTTAAAAGTAGAAAGATTGCTGTACAGAAAGCTTTGAATTCTTCTGCAAATCAGGGGCAATCCCCAAATGACCTAAAGCACCACACTGCTCTCATTCAATCAAAAACATGTCTTGCTGAGCAACAGTAACTTCTAGGTGTACACATGTACCATAATTACTCACCTGTTGATGTCAATTCCCCTTATACACTGTACTACACTTTATACATACATGTATGAACATGAACATGAACATGTACCGTAGTTGTAGATTTTATGAATTACTAGGGTACCAGTACATGTACATGTAACTACATGAATATTAGTAACACCAGCTTTCCATTTTACTTATTTTTGCCAGCTTTTTTTTCCTATACCCAGCAAGAAATGAGACCGAGGGTACCCCCCCAACATGTCCAATCCCTATACACATTCCAGACGATTGTTACTTAACACACACCCCCAAGATGTCTGAAAGGAATTCCCCAGATTCCTGCGAGACAATGACCAACACAAAGCAGGGGGGGTTCTCTCCGTCTCATACCTTGCTGCATATGTTTTTTTTCTCTTCTTGTTTAAAGGGTTTCATCAACTGCCTTCCATTCATGTACATGTACATGCATAGTGGAAGCTGTGTATATTTACAGGTCCACATCCGTGTACATATACAGCACTGTAAATTATTGCAATTAAATATGGCGCTGTGCCTGGCCAATGGCATTTAACGTGGACAAAAGGTGAGGCCCTAAAAGTTACTACTTTACACTACATGTACATGTATATGATAGAAACCAAGTGCACTACTTACCATGCACACTTCAGCTTCACATTACCTTATGAAGCAGAACATGCATTGTACATGTAGACAGAAGCATTATAATGAACACATGCCCGGTAGCATGTTAAATATGACACAACCTCTGAATGAATGGTAATGCATGTAGGTTAGTTGACATTTTCCCCTGTAATGAAATGCGATTGTTAAAGAGCTACTTCTGATAATTGCACTGTACAAGTAACAAAATGGATGAACTCCCTGTAATGGCCATGTTGCTAACAATTACACAATCTAATGATGTTCACATGCCATGGAGAACTTGACCGTAGTACCCACACCCTGGGGTTCTCAGAAAGCAAATGTGCGTGTACCGTACCATACATAAATTGTAACGTGAGGTTTTTTGAAGTGGACAACACCGCGCGTGCTGTGCATCACCGCCAAAGCGGCTTGTGTATTTTGTGGGGGGAGTGGGGGTGCTGGCGTGCGTGTTTGGAAGGAATGGGCGGAACGGAAGGATGGATTTGTGGGAGAGACCAAGGATCACCTGCGGAACAGTTTATCATCTGCGACGTTCCGTTGAAGGGGCAGAAGTAGCCGATCTCACAGGGCTGGCACGAGTCGCTCCCGACAGTCGCATAGGTTCCCGCAAGGCACTCGACAGGCGGGGCTCCCCCGCTGCAGGAGTAGCCGGCCGGGCAGGGGTCGCAGGAGGTGGCCTCGTCCAAGCTGTAGGTGCCAGGATTGCAGGCCGTCTCTGCTGTGGAGGTGCAGTAGTAACCTGCTGAGCATGGCACGCATGCCCGCTGATTCTCAGAATCTTGGTAGTGGCCCTCCGGGCACACAGTAGGTTCGCTTAGGCCATCAATCGGACAGTAGAAGCCAACTTCGCATGGAGTGCAAGCACTGCTTCCGTTACGGGCATAGGTGCCAGCAGGACATTTCTGCGGCGCATCAGTTCCAGTGCAATTGTAACCACCGTCGCACAGCAGGCAGGACGTTGCTCCCGCATAGCTGTAAAAGCCCGCGTCACATGGCACTTCAGTAGTGCGGGTGCAGTAGTACCCCGGACTGCACTGTGTGCAAGTATCAGCTCCGGTAGAATTGGAGAAGAAACCTTCGGGGCACTGCACAGGCTCCACGGTTCCTGGTGTCTCACAGTAAAACCCAACCTCACAGGGTTCGCAGGCGTCACTGCCATTACGGGCATACTCTCCGGCCAGACACTGCTGAGGGGGTGAGGTGCCGGCACAGGCGTGGCCGCCCGGACAGGAGAGACAACCTGTTGACTCGGCGTTGCTGTAGCTTCCCGCCCCACAGGCCGTCTCCTCAGTCAACGAACAGGAGTGGCCCGCTCGGCAGGGGTAGCACTCCTGGAGGCCCGTCTCATTGGCGAATTTCCCTGTAGGGCAGGGCAACTGCTCCCCACTTTCGTCCACGGGGCAGTAGTGGCCCAGACCGCAACTCTCGCAGGTGGAGCTTCCCAGGGTGGCATAAGTGCCCGCCAGACAGCGCTCTGGAGCTGCTCCCCCTGCACATCCAAAACCTTCGGGGCATTTGACACAGTACGTAGAATTGGCCCCACTGTATTCACCTGGGTCACATGCGGTTTGATTCGTCGAGGAGCAGAAGTACCCCTCCTGGCAGGGAGTGCACGAAGACTGGCCATCCATGCTAGAGTATGAACCTGTTTTTTTTATAGTTGGGAGTAACTGGTTATTTTTCTAAACCCCTCATCCAAGCTCTATTCTGCGTTTATTAAAAACAGAATCCCAGCTAATTTTCAAACAGATCTGCAAAAGTAATTTGTCTTTTTCCCCTAGTTCACACTGAATGAGAACGAGTTTTGTTTTTTCCATATTTGCAGTGTTTTATCTGCCAATGGATCACAAAATTCTTAAAACAACACATCAATGGCAGTTTTGAAGGCAAATCCTAGTTATGAGTTATGTTTAAAAACATTCTACAGAAATATGAACTTCCAATTAAGGACACAGACCATCTCTTCCCAATCAAGATGCAGAATGCATCCCTCAGCATCTAATGCCTTGCACCGCATTCTGGTGCCTTAGCGTTAAAGCGGATATGAAAATTCGGTTCCAGAATTGAGACTCTGTCTGGTCTCCCAAATCCAAGCTTCTACTGTTTTCTAGCTAATGCTTCAACATCACAATTTTTCAGGCTTCTGACCTGGGAGACTTTTTTTTTCTCATAAGGTTTCTACCCATGTACTTTCATCTGGATGTTGGAGTGAAGAGCTTACAATACTCATTTTGTGAGGTCCAGTCAAACAGGTTCATCATTCCATGTTTACTTGAGAGGTAGCTAAATCAAACTGTGAGGAAGGCTGATGCAGCGTTGCCAAGGGCAACCAATACAATTTCACAAGCTCTGAGGACCTGTCCTGTCCTATCCTTAGAACACTACGAACATCTACCAAAAGAAACACAGAGCTCTTAACAGCGAGCGTCCACTGTTATTGCATTGTTCTTCTTTTGTTAGATGTTCATAGTGGAAGTCAGGTCTCCTGTTCTGCATTACCTGTTGGGCAAGCTGTACAGCTAGCCGCACCTTCCAGGCTGTAATACCCAGCCAGGCAGTCGGAGCACGTATCGTCACCAGAGCTGGAGTAGGTCCCCTCAAGGCAGTTCTCACAGCCGGTTTGGTTCGAATTGGGCACGCTTCCACTACTACAACTCTGAAAGCAAGAACATTTCAAAAACATGATGGTAACTGTCGTCTCTTTACTGTACCACTAATTGTAAAAATTTATTTTTTAGGTACAAGGTCAATGGGCAAATAATGGAGGTGTAAATAAGACCCTTAACTTCAACATGACTGTACATGCACTAGGCAAGATTTCTAACCTTTTAAAATTTGCCATTCCACTCTAAAGACAGCTTCATTGTATGTTAGCAGGCAAATACGGGTAAGAAAGCAAAGCGAATTTTATGACGCAAAACAAATTGCAGTGAAACTCCCTCGAGTGGGCATGCTTACATGCAAGTGGACGTGCATTCAACTTAGTGTTGCCGCACACACATATTTGACATGTTTGATCCGATGTCAAAATTCTGCATTTGTGTTTGCATTTGCACCAGGTACAAAACGGCTTCAGCTCGGTCAGAGCTGTGATGACAAATCTCAACACGTGATTGAGTGAAACAGGTTCCTGTAATATAACAGTAGTACTGGAGTACTGGAGCAACTATTGCTTGGGAAAAAACACTGCCGACAAACTGCTGCACTGATGACGGCACCATGCTTTGTTGATGAGTTTACTTTCCTATGGTGCTCGTTGGACTGTTGGTTCCCACCCCACTGGCTCTACAGGATACCCCGTACACTGTACTCAAAGTAGGGCATTGTCCGTACTCAGGCCTACCGGTACATACCAGTGGGTGAAGAGCTACGGATGGCTTTCACAGACCTTATTGGCGCGCTGAGTAGAAATCAGCTTTAAACCGGTCACAAGGATTATCAAATGCCCAACATTTTGGCTGGTAACCCGCTTTAGATACCGTACAAGCAAAGACTGTAGCGACTCATCCCAGTAAGACAACCCTGCTTTACAACATTACAAAGATAAACATGGAATTACCAATTTGCACTTTCAACAGGCACACTGCCCTCCTCGAATAGAGTGTTCAAATGCCCAGGCTATTGACATTCTATGCGATGAGTATGCTGCACCATTCCTGCTTGGGCAGCAACCACTGAGTCACGTTCATACACATACCTTAGGTGCTTCATTCGCATTTGGGCAGTAGGAGATGGCTGGGCAGCTGCTGCAGCTGGACTCCCCATCTAATGAGTACTGAGGTGCCACACACGCGGTCAGCTTCCCATCCACTGTACAGGAATACCCACTTGGGCATACGGTACAGGAGCCTGACCCAGCTGTGCTGTAACTCCCACTTGCGCAGGCCTACAGGAACGAGGCAAAATGTGGACAAATTGAGCTGGAAGACACAAGCAGTCAGACAAAACATACCAACAAATGATCTCTTTTGTTCTGTCATTAAATTTTAATTTGAAAGATTTGGCTATTGATAGGGCACCGTCATATGAGAACACACTCTCAATACATGGACATATAGTTTAAATGATGCATCCAGTACACGTACCCGGAACACAGAAAATCAGAGTGAAAGCACAAACACAGTTTCATTTTCACTGATAAGGAAATTCTAACTTTAGGCTTCCTTCAGATGTTGTGTCCAACCACATCTGCTTTTGTTGTCACGAGTGGTCAGGAAAACAGCAGATGTCTGACTGTAATTTCATGCTCTGAGGACTCCTTTCTTTATATTTACAAAAACTGGAAGAGGCTCTCTTGACAAGTTCCAAAGCAAGACTGCTTAGAATCACTGAGACCTTCAACTCAAGTTATTTACGGGACGTTGTGGGACCTTGTGCACAGACGCTGTTGGACATCGTTTTTCCGAGGTATGCCAAACCCAATGCAAAAGCCTGCTGTTATGGGCCTACCAGACCTATCCCCACAGAATTAAACACTTTACTACTGTTTAATTCTGTGTGGTTGGGGAAGATTAGGGTTAAAGAAAGTACAAGTATGAGGGGAAGCCATTTGGCAAGAAAAGGTTCTACGAAAAGAGGGGGGGTCACCTCTGTTCAAAACTGTTCTTTTTGGTCGATTATATTCAGAGAATACATGTGCATGTACATGTAGCATTTCTTTTTGTTAAACCAATGTCTCACAAACAATTTCCCAGTAGCTTTGTGTTACCTACCGGGGTACATGTACGTACATGTATAATTTCTGTTTATTGCATTGCCTGTCTAAATATTAGCAGCAATCATCGACTAATTTTCATTCATTGTATTGTTTCTAATTTAATTACTCCGTACTTTTCCTTTAATTCATCCTCTCTACCAGGTACATGTACGGTACATGTATGTGCCTCGATTGATTGTAATTCTGACATTGTTATTCCTTTGAATACTGTGATTGCCACAATAACATACATGTACATGTGCAGTGTACACATACATATGGGTTTGGTACACATGTACATGTACATACCGGTATACATGCTCAAGTGGACAGTACACCTACCCGGTACCGTGTACCACACATGTCATTTAGTCGGTAATACTTCATGTGAACTCCTTCTCTTATTACTTTTGAGTTTACGTCAGCAGAACTTAGAAAGAAGTTTCTGCCACTTTTTATCCTGAATACACGTACATGTATTTGACTGCATTCAAGATCTCTTTAAACAAGTCAAGTCCGAGGTTCTGCCCTTTATTTGACCAGACCAGAGACACTGCCTAACGTTTACAATAGTAAACATTACCATAACATGGAAGAGCAAACAAAAAATACAAAGCGCATGTTCATAAAAAAAGTTTCTTTGTTAGAAAGCCAGTCAATACACTGTAAGGCATTAACAGCAACCAATCAGGAAGCAGGTTACACACTTCAGCAAGCAACTAACTGGCCAATCGAATCAGGGCCTCCAGTACCAGGTAGGTCAATGAAACAAGGTTGCGGGATGTCTACACCCCTACTTACATGTACTGTTCATGTACATGTGCGTGAACACATGTTGGATTGAATAGAAATGTCACAATGAGTGTTGGACTTTGTTCGGGCATCGCCTGAATGAAATTGATTAGACTTTACAATTCTTCAACAAAAGTCACCATGGAGTACTGCTTCAACACAGGGCTACCGCGGGTACCGCCAACTACATGTACTTCAAGATGTATTTTTGCATTGGGGAGATGTCAAAAATACATCTTGAAATAGTTCGCAGTATCCGCTGCTTCACCTGACTCGGACCGGCCAGCCGACCCAGCAAGTTCGGTGGTCAGGTGGTTTTTTTCACAAGCTCTCAGACAAGCACTGAACATACAGCATTTATATACGTTGGGTAAAGGCAAAACCCATTATATAAATTAACATCTCCCCAACACAAAAATAAATTTTGAAATAGCCTGACTACTGTTTCAGCAGTAGAAGGGTCACATCTAAACCAACTGGCTACAGCTTAAAGTACTAGAACCAAACACGTCTGCAGTGTACAAAGTGGATGTAGCCACTACGCAGTGGCTACCAGCTTCCTAGTGCACGTATCATTCTCAGCCGTAACCAAAACACAGGGATGCAGTCCGGATGTGGCCAGAGCAAAGCAAGTATTGATTCGGCTCTCTTTTTTGGAACCATGGCAACGGAAGAGCATAAACGGATTACCACTTCCATTTAACCACACATCACACATGCATTAGGGACCAATAAAATCCACAAAGTCTTGTCCTTGCCTGTGTCAGACATTGTGGTCGCCCTGCAAACAAACCACTCTTCATAACTATACACAACCTGTATGCATGTACTTGTACAGTAGGCCTACATATACACGTGCACGTAGCTGTCAATTCAAAGCTTCAGGAGATGATGATTCGCTTTAGAGTTTGAACCTTGGACCCAACAACATGCCACTGTCAAATGGGCTCATTATGTTTATTTAATTGATTGGATTTTCAATAAAAGAGAAGTGTAGGGCTTTTAGCTCGGTAGATACAAAACATTTACCACTTTTTGTTTTTGGTTTCTTTTGAGAGGGATCAGAAATCAATCGAAGAACAAGTTCAAATTTTTCTACATGTAGCTGTGCAGAAAAATATTTTTATGGGCCAGTGACATCCATATACAGACCTGTATACATTCTAATGAACCGGTATTAGCAGAGCTGAATGTATGTATGTACATGTAAAATAATTTCTTTCCAAAGTGAATCAATTTCAAACATCATAATATCCAGTTCGTTTAAGGTGTATTCTCCACCACAGTCAGGTCGGCATAGTGGTTCTTTTCCTCGCCAACATGTACCAGTACGGTCATCTCTATGATCCGGGTTCGAATCTCATCCCAGCCGACATGTGAGACCGAGTGTTCAGTCCCAACCTCATTCCGTGGGTTTTCTTTAGACTAATCACAGTGTACATCAGTACATGTACAACTACATGTACCATATCTGGCTTTGTCTTCCACCCTCCGAAACCGACCACTATCCTCATCCATTTGAATCTGTGATGTAAAAGTCGTTCCTTCAATTCCCAAGTTGCTTATGATAGTCCACTAAAAAATCATCGTGGTGATGACATTTGTAACAACAAGCAATAAAATTCTTGTTTTTATTTTGCCAGTCTGGCAATCCAAAGTTGAAAATTTACATACGTGGTACTGGTACATCAAACCAAACAGAACAAAACAGGTAGCGCAAGGATGACCTGGTTTTACAAAACTTACAACCAAAATGACTTACGCATTCCACTTCCGAAGCCACAAAATAAGATCAAACAGTATCATCCACGTTTTTTGCCAATTGTTGATTTAGGGATAATACATTGTAAGATATTTTTTTCGGTTCTGCCGGAGAAATGGCGGTATCTTTTCTGAAACAGTGGGTAAAATTATACGTCCACGGATGTAATGCAATGGTTTGGTGACCTTCAAACACGGTCATCAAAACAGGCACATGCTGGCTTCTTAAAGTATGAAATCCTCACTACTTTCAAAACCTTAAAAACAAAAATACAGTACCTTCCATTGAATAATACGTGTGCGTGTACTTACTGTGCAGTCTGAACTGGAAGATGATCCATTGTTTGGATTCTTAGTACCACTTGAACAAGCGACCGCTGACACTGATCCACCTTCACAGCTGTCGAAAGTTGAAACGGAGATTGACGGTTAAATTTTCAACGCGATAACTTTCATTGAAAGATGGTGAAAAAGGTTTCATGGAAAAATAAAGCACATGCAACACCCTGCTCAGAATGCTGCTCAGAAAAGTTGGGTTACAACCCTACATGTACAAGAGCTGGTCATTTGAACACATCAAGAAATGTTCCTTTGGGGTACATATATCTTTTTCTGATGTCAATGATACTGCCTGCAGACGAGCGTACACTCGATGCAAAATTCCAGGAATTAGGGGTCCACAAGTGTGACATTTTCATGTCCCTGTTTCATGACCTTTGTTACTTGACATGGAACTATCACCAGGATTGATTTCAAACTATTACTGTTTATTTGGCAGGTTATTTGCATTTATTCAGCACTCTCACTCTCAGAAATTAGCAAAATGTGTTCTGAACTTACAAAATCATACATTGTACTGGTACATGTACATCTACTTGTATCAGATGTAACACGGACAAAAAATAAATGGACCCCTACTTTCTGGAATTACCCATATACTGGTACATGTGTAAGTTTCTGGAGAGAGAGTTGCCGACACAAACTTCTGAGATTGTACAAAAATGGACTTGCACTTAAATGCACTTATGAACATGGTGCCCTTCACATCTGTAATAAGCCTTGAGTTTGTCCTTTCCATATGAGTACCAGTAAATTTATACTGCACTGGCACTTGTGTATACATTCAACTCGGGAGGTTTTGCCCTACTTGTAACTCTACTTGTACATGTTGGTCATTTGCAGAAAAAAAAAAGTTACAGTAATCATAATTTAGAGAAAATTTACAAACGTTCAGGTATTTTTAAGCAGAAATTTCTGGGTTTTTTTTTTTATCTATTCAAAGGGTACAATGTACATGTATAACACTAGAGGTTACTACAGTATTTTATTTCTTTCTTCCTCGACTGGACTGCTCTTCAGGGGGGGTATGGCACAGCCCTCCCAAAATAAATATAAGGACTAATTACAAAGAGTATCAGGATTACTGCCCAGGGTGGATAGCGTTCCACTATTTGCACATGGACAAAAGGCCAACCAATGCCGGATCAATCGTGGGCAAACAATATGAAAGAACCGATCCCTCACTGTGTATATCTGTTGCCCAAAGTGTTGCTAAGATATTGGACGCCCCATAGGTTTGCTGAACAAATACGTGCCCAACATACATTGTGCATGTACATTGTGCAATGCAGAAATAGAAGAGGATTTGAGCTATTTCAGAAGAATTGGTACATACACACAACTGGGTAAACAATCTGTGTTGCAGAGGATAGTACATGCACATGTAGTACGGTACATGTACATGTACATTTACGTGTACATGTACATGTACATTGGCTGCATTGTTAAAGCCAGTGTTGATGTTTAACTATTTACGCAAATTGATTTCTAGAAACATAGGAATTATGAACAAATTGAAGCACTTTTTTCCATCTTATGTTCTTTACAACATTTACATGTATAATGCTCATGTAGTACCTCTTTGCCACTACATGTATGTAATTTTCAACAATGTGTACATATGTACAAGTACAAGTACAACATGTTAAGGGAATGGCCAGTTTACAAGCTCTACTTTTTCAGCCCTCCTCCACTTTCAGGTGCATGTATTGTTAATTAATTAATTGTTCCCTTCAAATGTCTCAATGGATGTAGATGACGCTGACATGCATAAGTGGAAAATATAACAAACTGGACTGCAACTGAAAAAGCTGAATTCTCACACCCTTGATTTACATACATACAGTGTGTTTCAATAACACACACCGCACCAATCTTCACAGATTGTCCAAACCAACCGATAAATGAGATTAACAGCTTCAACAAAAATCTTGATTAACCTAAAACACTCTATCATACAAATCTCAAATTGTCGTTAAACACACAGTAGTCTGGTAGTACAGCATGTACATGTACCGGTCCCAACTACAGCGTAGTCCGTACAACGCACCGGGTCCATGTCCAGTCACAAAATTCATCGGCAATTTATAATTAAAGGGCTCAAACTGTTACTGATTAACCCGAAGTGTCGGCAGTCTCAAGAAGCCGTCATGGTGCTCCGGCCAATGAATTTTTGTCTGGAGCAAATTGCAGACAGTAAACAGTGATGCAATGCTACACAGAGCAGTATTACAAGTAGCTGCAAGAGATCTGCACATGGCTTTCAGACATCCTGAGCCTTCGTTATGAGTCTGGCCTGTCTGACTAAAAGGGTAGATTGACTAATACCGTACATTAATGTAATCTTGATGACAATGCCAGACCTTTTATTATCACGGGCACTTTGAAAAGTAAAATTCTCCCCTAAACGAGACCCATCAAAATGCAGGTTGGGCAGGGCAGATGCAGCTTCTAATTCCCCTTTCATCTCACACACTCTATTCTTGATTGCCAAGCTGTCTGATGAATATAAACTTGTTTCAAATTTTTATGATAAAAAGTGGTGCAGATGCAAAAATGTATGCAACCTGAATTTTAAAAAAGATGGGGGTGGGTCCCTAAGTGGGCCCTGAACATTGCACTAAAGCTTTGCTTTCCCCCTTCCGATTTTAACATTTTTTCAGTCACCATTGAGTTCAAAATATACAAGTACACCATGTTGACACTTTGCTTAAGCTTTGAGAAAAGTCATCCTCTTAATTTCCCACTGTCCCCCACAAACGAGGTGATGTGTACATGTACATGTACACCCTCCTGTATACATGTACTTCTGACAATGGGCTTTTGACTCTGTGACCATGGCACTACACCCAACACAAAAACAAGTGGCATTGTTTCCCCTGTGCAAGGATTTCACTGTCTAGCCAACCATGTCAACAGGTGCAGTCATGCAAATCGCAGCATACATTGTACCCGGGGAAAGCCCCAACTCATTGATTAGAGAGGTGCCATAATTATCAATAATTGCCAGACTGGAATGCCACAGATCGGAATGATACATGTACACTTGAATGTGAGATTAAAACCCCCTAACCGTAGACCAAAGAATATCCTACAGTGGTTACTTTCGGTGGGATTTTTTTGATGTGAGCGTCAACTGAATGAAGAAAAGGCCTTTTGTTCTACCAGCACATGTAATGTACATGTACATGTACTTGTGCATGTGCTGTATACATGTACATGTATACATCCATGTAATTATTTGACATTTGAAGGGGGTTTTAATAAAGCAAAGTTGGACATGCTCAAAGTAAGTAAGCTTTTACAAGTTGATACCATAGTTTTGGGCATAAAGCTTGACACGATATGTAATTATACTGTCCAATAACCCATTCAGTCAGGTCAAATGACCCATACATATTTACATACACGTACAAAATTGACATTCACTTGCAATCGTTTGAGCCACTTCCGGTGGACACTCTTTCTGGTATAAAATTTTCACGCTTTGAATTTTTTTCAGCAGCCACATGTACGGCAAATGATAAAAATTTGTGCACGGCCAATGGCCTGTCAATTGTGGCACACTGCCAATGTCTAAAATATGAATTCTGACTCACACTACCGGTACATGTACATGTAATAACAGTCAGTTTCCATGAGTGTGGCCAAAAGCTGGTTTTCCTGACATGAAATCATACTGTGACTCCCACAATTTTATTCAAATCTGACATACATGTAGATAATGTTCACAGGGAACATGACTAAAAAACCAATCTGTTGTTGAGGGCGCACTATCTGGGTTGATATCAAAGGTCAAACAGGCCACGGTGCAGCGAAATGTTTCTCTAACGTCACCGCGACAGATTAATGGAAGCCGCAAAATCGCCACGATCGGTATTTTGGACTGCAGTTTTCGGGAACATACTTGAACAAAATGTGATCGGTCCAGTCGTAAAAGGATGACCGTTTGGCAGTGCTTTTTTGCATTCTTTTTTAAAGCTTGTGTTGTACATCGATATATGGATTTTACTCGCTTTTTTGGCAGTCGATTTTTTTTACACTAATGACAGAATCGAATGATATTCGCAACTGCCGACTTTGGGACCCGATTAATTGTGAGTGGTACTTTTTAATTTCGTGATTATGATTTTAATATATTATCACATTTCACCACAAATAAATCTGTGTAAAATAACCTCAGGGATTATCACTGCTCAGTAAATTCTGTTTGCTCGGATTTTAACCGGGAGTTCATGTCCCTCAAAATTGCTAACGTTTAAGACTTTAATTAATTACATGTAACTCCAATTAAGTTGAAAGGTTGACACGGTCATCATTGTTCCAGATATCAGCCATGACTTCCCTCGTTTCATCAGACATTGGAAATTAATTCACTGCTGTTCACTTCAGGAAAAATGAACCCCAAAGTTGAACATTATCTTATGGTCCATATTTTGAGGAACCTGCCATAACTGCAAACAATTTCAACCTGTTAAGTTACTGTGAATGCGAAAGAGTCGTCAATTCTAGGCACGTTCCAACAGTAATTCTCCTACTTAACCGTTAATTTAAAAAACTGGCAATGGGACTAACTACAAATCCTGTACAAATACATGTACATACAGCAAAAGTGAATAGATATCGGTAGGGTCAACTTGGGGGAGGAGGGGCTCTGACTGGAAATGCTAACTACGTGTATTATTTTACTTACTAATATCCTGGATTACACTGGGCGCATGCACTCGCTACATTGTCAAAGAAGAAACCAGCCGAGCAGTTGGTGGCACAGTCTGCTGTGCAGTCTACAGGGCAGTCAACGTCGCAGTCTACAGGGCAGTCCATTGTACAATTGGAAGCTGCGCTCACCGAGCCTTCAAATGAAGATGAACAAATGTTGAATTATGTTTATCTTATTTGAGACAAAATTTCGGGTTGAGAAAAAGGGGCGTGTCCATTGGGCAACCGTATGCATTGGCAACTTCCCTCAGAAAGACTACAATGTCTGTGAAGTAGCCTACACCACTTTGTTGGTTGCATGTTGTACACAAAGTCGATGGCGAGTTGCACGCATTTTTCAAGACTATTCAAAGAAAACTGGAAATATTTCTCAGTCTCAAAATTATACGTGTTGTTTAGCAATTTTGCAATCATGACTGATGAAAACGAGGAGGTAAGCAAGTTCCTAACCCCCCCCTTTGAAATAATCTGTACTGGTAGGGCTGGGGCCTGAACACACTGGTGGCGGAAGTTGGAACCAGTACCCCCCACACACACACGTCTATGGGAGGGGGACAAGGCCCCCCAATTTAGCAGGGCCTATAATGGATGGGGCTTAATGGATCAGCCAATTAATGGCTGATGCCTGATGGTATCACAACTGCCCCTCCCACTTCGAATATTGTTCCACAGCCGCTGCTTGGACATCTCAACTGTTTGTCAACTCAATTTTCAACCGTTATGCTTCAAATGGACAAACAACTCGACTGTTGGAACAAGTCCTTGATTGAGACATACATGTATATGTAAGTTGACTCGCAATGAGTGCATGTGCGCTTTGAAGTCACTTTTGATTTACCATCTCCGACACTGGCAGACGAGACTTTGGGTGTAGACGAGACACCTGTACATGAAAGATTTGGTGTCGCGTCACCAGCATGTCACATCGCCATCCCAACCTCACACCATGCTGGTTGGGATGACCGCTGCGCTGCCCATTGGTCCAGTGAATGCCACATCACCAGATCCCTGTGAATGTACATGTTTACATGTACATATGCAACTCATGCCTGGCGAGTCGAGTCACAGCGCTAATTTGCCCAAACAAATCAAAATGCAATCTGTGTTTACTGCCCCATACTCGGTCACGCATTGCACTGTTGAGTTGTCTTAACAGACTTGGTAAATGGTTGAGTTGTTCCATCGGTCAAGTTGTCTTGACAGTCGAGGTGGTAAACGGTCGAGTTGCCCGACTTCTACGTACAGTCATCTGCAGGGCCAACTCAATGGATAACTGTACAAGTACATGTATGTACACAAGTACGGCTACAGCACATGTACCGGTAACTTGTACATGTACATGTACGTGCATACACGTAGGCCCTCAATTTGGGCTTTGCACATGTACAGTGTGTACAAGCACACAGGAATACGAGTAGAAAAAATAGAGCCAATTCCATACGAGTACAGAAGCCACTGCATTTCCCCAGTAGTGACCTACTGTACATTGTACACACATATATACATACAGCCTTCTGAAAGCATTAAGTAAATTATTGAGGTATTTACTTGGAAAACACTTGGAATTTTTCACACCAGTCTCATAGGGTGTGTGCACAGGGTATCAAGCAGCATCCATCTTTTCCACTTTAGCTATCACATCACTGCCCCCCTGACATGCCTGAACTTTGAAGAAATGTGCGACCCCCCCTTGCCCCAGACGAAATTACATCATTGACAAAGCGGCCTACATCATGTACGTCCGACTCTCTGCGCCGGTAAACTTTGCAAATTTCACGACTGAACTTGACCTGAGATCCAAACTTGCCAAGGTAAAATTCCAGGGCTTAGAATTCCGATGAACAGGTTGCAGTGAACTGGTTCTCAGTCTTACCTGTCGAAAAGCTCAGCAGAAAAAGTATTAGAAACATCCATTTAACCGACGCCCAGGCATCAATGGATATTCCTAGGGAGATGGAGAGGCTCCTTTGGTAGCTCATGCTCGACATATTAAATGCACTTACTCCCGAGAAGGCAAACTTCCCCTTGGAAATTTCCCGCTACACTCACAAAAGTTGTCAAGAAAGTTGTCACCGGTCCGCCATTTTGTGTGAGAGTGGACGTGAGTAGCCTATAGTGTGGCGAGGCCGGAACTTTTTTCACGTCTCGCGAGGCACTTGTTGAAACAACTGAGTCGATCAGAGAAAAGAAAGAAATCTCCTGAAAACCTCTACTTCTAAGTAAACTTTCTCTAGTTCTTCAATTTTATCTGCAAAACAATCGCCACAAATCTTGCTAAACTGAGCACGACCGGTGCAGTGTGAGCTCAACTTGATCAACTGATTCCGTATTGGCCCGTGACGTCAAAGCGTTCGATTGCCAGGCGACAATTCCGGATTTAGCCACAGCAAATTCTGCCTCGTTACTCGTCACTCTGATTTTTCGTCGTTGGCTTTTTTCTTTCTTGACAAACAGAAAGATTTTACATTCAAAAACGCTATTAAGTTACATTTAGTGGCACGAAAGCGACTTATCAATCTGATAAAGAGTCCTCTGTCTTGTGAAAATGTAATTTACTTAAGCCGTCTGTCGCTAACCTAAATTTTTGGATCGTATGGCCAAGATTCAATATGTAATAACTCTGACAGCGTGTGAAGTGTTATGTTGTGTAAAGAAATGAATTGCTCAGGGCCCCATTTTGTAAGCTTCTGCAGGCCTACACAATTATGAATCCTCTGTTGTTTCACTTATAAAACAACACAAAACAGAAGTCTTGGGTTTGCCGTATTTGCCATCGCAGGATTTACATGTAATCTACGGGGAACAGTGGCTTAATTTTGTGCCAGAAATTGAGGTTGGGGATGGGATGTGGAATCGCCGGTGATGGGCCCGGCCATGGAACTTTCTGCAAAGCCGGCCCGGGGGGCGCTGGGCGATGGTACTATAGGGTGGTATTCATGCATGATACAGGTGAACATCTGTTACATTCCTACAGAATCTTACATCAGCATGGCACTTTTGTGGCTGTTTTTAAGTTACTTTTCCCCTTTTGAATTTTTCCCTATTGAATAGGCCTATATCTTGTTTGTTGGGAAGTCCGAAAAAGTTTTCACAATCCCCCTTATTTTTTTCTCACCACGAAAACGTGGGGCAGTTCAATCCCCCCCCCCCCCTGGGTGAAACAGGCGCGAGGGGAAGATTGTACCGCCATCTACCGGGACTTAACGCCCATATCATTAGAACCATGGCAGATTATTCAAAGGAGCTAGGAGTGCGGGGGTGGATCAAAGTCCCTCCTGGGCCCAAACCGGGGAGGGACTTTTTTACTTTGGTTAATTGAAATCATTAACGCTTTAGAAACGGCGCTATCAAATGAGCGAAAAGTCTTGAAAAATCGAATTAATAAAAACACGCCCTCATGCATGGCTCAAAACCTGCGTCTTGTGGCGACCTTGGCCACCCTGAATATGCCATATGTTAAAGTTTGTAACCCCGGCTACTATTCATGACGTAATTATTAACCATAAGGGCGGCTCTCCATGCGTTTCACTTTCACGGACACAAAACTCGACTCCATAAAAGTTAACATACCACACGTCGTGTGCGTTGCGTCCGGCCATCAAAATCGCTCCCGGAGAGATTTTGGCGGATACGCCACGAGTGCGCAAGTGTTGACGCGCACATTGAAAGGCGCGTTTTACGAGTACGATACGGCCGTTTCACAATAGTGCGCCATCAAGAGTTTGCAACGCGTTGGCCAATCACAATGCGCGAAATTTGTCGACCCAATGCGCGTTTGGAAAGGGTCGACAAATTTCGCGCGTTATGATTGGCCAACGTGTTGCAAACTCTTGGTGGCGCACTATTGTGAATCGCCCGTATTCTTCGAGAAATGACCGGCTACTGCAACGCTGACCGCTACCCGGCATCGAAGCATCAGACATTTTTTCTGAGTTATAGGTGCGTAGCTGACCAGCCAGACCGGCAAACGTGACATTATGCAAGCAGGGTGCAGCCCAGGAAGTGAATTGCAATAGCCAACAGTGGCAACTGTCTGAGAACTTCAAAAGAATCAGGAAAAATACTGAGACGAGCATCAAAATAAAACTCATGAATAATTTTTTATTTTATTTTCGAATTACCATTCATTAACGAATGACTTTTCAAGATTTTTTCTACGCAAGGTCGCCCCTAAAAAGCAGTGGCGAAATCCCTCACCAAGTGAAAACTCGATGCCTAGACCGTTTTCAGGCACCGATGTCTCCCAATTCTCACTCAGACACAATCTGGCATTCGTGTTGGTCGCCTATTTAAAACCTGTCACGAAGTGCAAATTGGGATTTCGCCAGCTCGAGAAGTTCTAGGCCTATTTATTGGCCTGCACCCTGTGGTGGATCAGTGGTGCCCTTTGCCGGCCAATAGGCCTATGCACCAACGCTATATTAAGACACAAAGCATGCAGTGTGTGCGACCCTTCACACTCAGATCAGTAACGTTCCAGGATATGAAGTTTTTTAGACAGGCAATATTACGAGACTGTATACTCGACTATTTTAATGAATAAACTACTTTTGGACAACAGAGGGCGCTGTTGCTATAGCGTCATCAGCGCTGGGCGTCATCAGTACTTTTTGTACACTAAATAGGTTTTCGTTTTTCTTGTTTCAAGTCCAGAACCAATGGGGTACCAACGGGGGCCATCACAACTCCCCCAAAGGAGCCGAACCGTGTGTCTTTTGTTTAGAAGAGAGTGATTGATCTGGGTAAAACGGAGGCTCTCTCCGATGAGCAAATGCAGCTTATTGTGCTCCGCAAATCTAAAATGGGGGGTATGCTTATTGGGTCGAAGACTCGTTTGATGGAGAGAGGGGAGAAACCTTCCAAGTATTTCCTTAATTTGGAAAAGCGTAATCTTGTTAACAAATCAATCACCTTTATTGTTAACAACGATAATTCTATGTGGAACTCAATGGATGCGGCTAGCCTGGCCTCTAGCTGTTTCTGACCTTCCACCAGTTTTGCCAGCGTAGACCTGACAAACACGATGAACTCCTGGGAGCTGGTGCCACCATCTTTTTCACTGGAGTCGTCAGAATCATCTCTTCGGCAGGCCATGGGCATTTGTCCGGCAGGAGATGCACTTGCGCCAGTCTTTTTCCACCGTGTTGTAAAGCGACATTGCGGGCTTTTCTCGATCGAGTGAGCTTGAATATACGGGAGCCCCGTGAGCGTACGTCTTACTCCGACGGCGTCATCAGTTGCAAATGAAATTTTTAGCAATTGCACTGAAGTAAACGCGTTTGCTTCATTATTGTAGTGGGACGCCACAAGGAGGCCCAGTCCCATTGTGAAACGGAACGAGCACCGGCACGGGACACGCACAACTTGAAAGACGAAGACAGTCTTGGCAGGATAATTGTAGCCTTGATTTTTTGGTGACAAGCAACTGTCACAGGCATCCTTACAATATAGATCCCGGAGTGACAAAACCCCCATTGCCTGAAATAACAGAATAATGAGAGCTTCCAGTGATCAACCTGTATCTATAAACACACTTTACATGTACAGCACATTCACAGAGTATAGAACACATGTGTATCGTTGCTTACATAGGATACTTAAAAGTGAACGGCAATGTCCTTAAACATCATAACACTTCAATATCACAAACAAGATCAAGAAGTACATGTACTCACTGACCGATCTTTGACCGTCTCCTATACTGTTTTGTTCGTATTCATATGCAAAGAGTTACTTACCAAGTAAATTATAGGACAAGTAACGTGAGCTTCAATTAACACGTCACCAAAATATCACATAATACAAGACATTTTATCGACCTAAGCGATAACATTCATTATACTCTAGGAAAAAAGAAAACATGTTTGTGCTGAGTGTAGATTGTGTGTTGAAATACGAAGGGCGCCTGTCGTGTAATAGTAGCGTCCAGGCGAAATGGGGTTTAGCAATGAGCCACAACGAAGATCTAGAGATTTCCAATCATTTGCGGGGGGGGGGCAGCCCGCCCAATTCATTGGCCATTCAGCTCCACGGGTTTATTAGGTCAATGCAAGTGAGCTGATCAGCAGCATGCGTCGCTCATGCTTCGTCAGCCACGTTCGTCCCAACTTCGAGTGATCAAACCACGTGGATTTTACCTTACCCACTTCCTCCCCCATACAGGCCTCCCGGTCCCTGTGGCTGGGATTTTCGTTTCTGCCTTGTGTTTTATTTATGGCTTGGCGGTTCTTTGATACGGAGTAAGAGTGGAACACCATTTGTTTGTTAAAAAATGATAAGCTACCTGGTCTATACATCAATTAAATCTTGAACTTTGTAAGTTAAATTGTCTAAAGCGCCGTGATCGAAGTGCCACACGGCATGACAATGGGAAGTTGGACATCATAGTTCAATTTATTAATACCAGTACACGTGTACTCTTATTAACAGCCCGTGACGTTCCACACGGGCTACACCCATGCTCCAGCGGTGGGAAATTTAAATTGCATGATACTGTAAGTTACTGATTTATTACAGTTCTTAAAACAAGTACTGGGTTACGTAAAAGTTTCATCCCTCTGCAAAACGTTAAAACCTGCGACGCCTTCCAAGGTCAAACCTACACGGTTACAGGGACGGACTCTTTCGTTGAGTCCATTGCATTTTTCAGGTTTGCAGAGCCCTGAGGCCGTCCTGAAGGTATATTAATGCTTCAGAGGTTGTCCCATAGCCTCTACAGATCTTACAAACCACCAAAACCCACCAAAAGTACATCACAGTACCGCGGGGGGCTGTTTCCCCAGGCTATCCGGATTTGAAGGGGGGCCTCGCTACGCGCCAGCCAAGCCATAACACCACCACACCCCCCCAACAAAAAAACACTTCAAAGTCAGCCGACAGAGGCCTCTGACAAGTTCCAGACAGCTGTCACTGATAAAGAACATTCCACTGCCTGCCCCAGGCACCGTTTTGTAAACAGCCCATTAGGTTGTGCACAAGGGAACCATTAGTACACAGTCCTCTGGGAATTGCCTGGAGGCTGGCTCAAGGCCGTCTGGGTTTTTTGCATTTATTCTGGCTAGTGGAGGCCCTGGCTGTAAAATGACTAAACCAGGCTTTTCAGCATGTTCAGGGGTAGGATATGATAAGTAGTCGTGGAATTTGGACTTAACAAAAATAATTATATGTTAATTAGACTCGCCAGGAGAGGCCACTCCCTCTACCGAGAATTTAAATAGTGCCACTTTCGGACCCGATTGCATCCAAATTGCTCAGAATTGGAAGCCCACCGTCCGGGCCAAAGGCTCTTTGCCATTATGTCTTCAATTCCAC